CTCTTCACTACCTATTACTGACGGGTCCATGGTAGTATTCATTTTATTTTTATCGTTTTATTTTCCTTCAATTTCAACTCTAAGCATCAACTATCACACAATAGTTCCTCTACCTTACACCCAACCAATCCCATATTGAATCTTAACTTTTCCTCCTGATATTGATAAAATAAATTTCAATTGTTCGTTTCCAGATCTTGTTAAAGAAAAAAAAATTCACCCCTCTTAGATACAAAGAGAACTACTCTATCTAAATTTTTCAAAAAAAAATACATTTTCTTATTTTACATATTAAAAAGTACCAATTTTTATTTCAAAATTTGAAATTTATGATTTTTTTGGAAAACTTTTCGATTTTCTGACACGGTAGATGCTTTTTATTTTATACACTATGCCTAAAATTAACTTTTCAAACTAAAAAAATCCTAATTAGATAATTTTTCAAATATTTAATCAGTTAAATTGAATATTATTAAACTATGTTATTATTTAAATAATTTCCATCTTTTGTAATGCATCAGCACATTACCTGAAAACTTTTTAATCATTCTAGAACAAACCAACATCGTATAATCCCATCATAGCTAATCATCCATTACAATTCTGCCTATTCAAGAGCTCGTGGTGAATTTCCTAAGTTCATTCCCATTCAAAATAAAGATATTCAACAAATTTCTTCCAAAAGAACTTCGTAAACTAACTAACAAGAATAACATCTTCCATTATTTTCAACATAAATACATTTTCAAAGAATAAAATGTTCTTTAATGATTTTTTATTTGGTGAGAAATCTTGCAACATTATTCTTTCATACTCAACTTCAATACAACAACTAACATATGATAGTTGGAAAAAATCACATAATAGAGCAGGTAAGTATTGTGAAGCTGAACTTTTATTTATCTGGTGTGATATGACCAAGCGAGGGACTCAGACTGCTGTATCTGTGGAGCAACATGACCAAGCGAGGGACTCAGACTGCTGTATCTGTGGAGCAACATGACCAAGCGAGGGACTCAGACTGCTGTATCTGTGGAGCAACATGACCAAGCGAGGGACTCAGACTGCTGTATCTGTGGAGCAACATGACCAAGCGAGGGACTCAGACTGCTGTATCTGTGGAGCAACATGACAAGGTGATTCAGTTTGCATTGATTGATAGTTCAATATCAGACCAATACTTCTCTTCCATGTTGCGGGCATGGCGAGGCATTTTCAAGATTGGTACCGAAATTGGCTACTATCCCTAAATGCAACAATCATAAATGACACTTTTATCATAAAACGTGTTTAATTCAAATTTGGCGGGCTTTTGGTCGTAGATTAATTTAACTAATATGAATTTGGATTGTGCTTTCCTTATTGATGTAATGATATTTTCACTAATAAAAAATGAAATATACACAAGAAAAAATTATTCAAAAATTATCATTGCATTTTATTTGAAGAAATTTTGAAAACACATCATACACATACTATAAATGAATATTATCATCTTAATTTTAATAAATTTCATTTACTTGGAAAGATGCAAGATCATCTTGTACTTACTCTTCGATTTATTCCATGTAACTTCGCAGGTAATAATGGCGCACTTACCTCTATTTTGGATTTTTATAGTTTCCCTCAAAACACATTCTATGGACTTACGCTCGTATCGCGTTAAAAAATGTCGTTAAAATTGCCCACACGCCTTTTTTAAATTATGGAAAATTAGACATTTGGAATTGAAAACAAGTATCAATATCTGATGTCAATTCAATATTCTTTTGGATCATTTTGTATGATCAAATTATTTTGAAATCCTAACATATTAGGAATTTGAATGAATAATCCTGTGCAATAGCACCCTTCTATTATTCACTAGATGTATGTACCATTGCCATCTTATGAATCGAAACAGGTATGAACAAGATCTAAAATTACAGCGGAATCAGATTTTTGACATGACAAATTATTGTGGGTGAAAGCAAAAAGTTTTAAATTCATAATTAATGAAATATTATGCAATAAATCCGAATGATAAAACTATAATTTCAAGATCTGAAACTTGATAAATCAATTTTTTCATGGCGCTTGATTTTGTACGCTCCAAAATCAAAGAAATCATGAAAAAAATGGAAGAGGATTCAGATAATGGTCCTGTTGGTCCAGTGAGAAAGATTGAATTTAATCCTTATCGATATCTACAGCAAAATTTCAATCAGACATTAATTCTGCTAGTTGAAATCACTAATATCAACAGAACAATGATCTTTAAATATCTCCTCCATAAAATCGAAGACTCTATCAACAATTCATGCACTTCCAACAACTTAATGATTCTTAATCTACTTCAATTATACGTTTTTCTTGCGATTATGGATAATTGCTTCTCTAAAATCGATACTAAAGAAGAATTCATACCCGATGATAAGAAAATGACGTTGATTGAGCTTTACATTAAGATAGATAATCCAGTTTTCGGCAACAACGTCAAAATAATAAAAAAGGCATATCGCACAATGCTTATTTCCGTCTCAAAAAGGTCGCCAACATTCTTCGATGGCTTAACTAAGACTCTTCAGCAAAGTTTGAATTCAAAATTGTCCAATAATGATTTCATTACGAATATCGCTCCATGGATTGACCTAACAAACGATTTACAAACCTTGGGCTCCTTCCTAAAGGTGCTTACGACATCTCTAACGTTACTTTCTCCTTCTTATTATCAAGTTATCTGCAAAACTATAACAGATATCGTTATGAATGTTATCAAATTATCAAGCGACGAGTACAAGAAATTCTGTGATCAGAACAATACTATCATGATCGCAGCCCAAGTTTTTGATATGATCGATGAATGGGACATGAAAAACGTTTCGTACAAATACAATGCACAATTCTGCTTGATGCTTGTCAGACCGAATATTCTGCTTAACCAAGTTCGTGATTTTACCATTCCAATGTTCAAAACTTTATATGAAATGAAAGAACTCAAAAGTGACAGCGATCTCAACATGCTTTCCGTAATTCTTAAAGGATTTGATACAATTTGTTACATTGGAGCCCAGCCAACTCTTGTAAATTTCATGATGAAATTTATTGATTTTCCGGCAAACGCTTTGAAGCAAGTTTTTGCAAAGCAAAGGGATCTCGATCCTTCTCTTGACCAGGAATTGATGATAAACTTCCCAATTTCCTTACTTTACTGTTCAATCGAGAAATTCAACCAAATTTACGGAAATCTTCTATTAAACAGCAAGAACATCCAATACGATGTCAAGTTCTGCAGCATTATGCCTAAAATCTGTAAATTTACTGCAGAAAAACCATATTCTTTCCGAAATGAGTTAAATGCTTTAGTTCCATTAACTTACAAGGTCTTATCGTCTATAATAAAGGACACAAATGCTCCTAAGGAAGCTATTAAGAGCATGATTCCAGGTTTTGCCGAAAATCCTTTCTTTACTCGTCTTGTTTTCCTTGCAAACCCAGATATCTACTCATCAATCATGAGAATGATGAAAGAAGGAACAATTAAAGGCGTCGACCAATTGAATTCTTCAATGTTTAACCTCGCATTCGTTGATGATGTAATTACTCCAAGTTTCTGGCAGATGCTTACCATTACCCTTGATACTTATGTTGCGCTCTCAAGAACCCCGAAGTTCCTTTCCGGTCCTGAATTTCAGAGAATTCCGCAATTAGCACTTTGCGCCACAGAATACGTCAAAGCGGCTATTAAGGATGCAACAATGCTTCCTCCACCTGAATCCTGGGAAAGACTTTTGAGAACTCTTGAAGAATTTATCTTATTATCGATGACAAGGTACGAACCAGATTCAAAGAAGACCGTTCTTGATATCATAAAGAACTATATCCAATTCTCAGAACTAAGGCCAGCCAACGCTAACCAATTCATCGTTTCCAAATTGAAAATTTTACTTGACACACCTTTGGAAGAGATGCATAGGAAATTCTCAGAGATCATTAGAAACGAAAAAACTCCACCAACATTTGAGAACACTCTTCCAACTTTATTAATTTTATTTTATTCCATTTCTTTGGGGTTAAGCAATGGAAAGCTTTCCTTGCCAAATGTTGAACCAGCAGCTATACCAGAGAGACTCCGAAACAACGCAATTGGCATTTGGATCTCAACATTTACTTTAATTCTCTCAATTACGAAGATTCTTACAGCAGATATGAAGAAACTTATCATTTTCTTCCTCCAGAACCACACAGGACTTGGTGTAGTTGCAGGCCGTGTCATTTCTTCCAGTATTCCTGCAGCATTAGTTCCTGATTACTGCAGTTTCTTCACAGAAATCCTTAAACCAAAGATCAATGACACTCCAATTGAAAACATCGATAACCCAACCCAAGAAATGGCCATGAACATCACTAGAGCGATGAATCTTCTGATGGCACGTGAAGATATCACAGCTGAGTACTTTAAAGTCGATACAATATCGAATTTACTTGATTACCTTGGCCAATACGCACAAGTTTCCTGCAAAGATGATGTCAGACTTCAGTTTGCAATGACATCAAACGTAATCATGACAGATTGTCAGAAATTCGGTGTAAATATCAATCCTATGGTCAGGTTTAGGATCTCCAAGAACATGTTGATCTGGATACCAATAAAGGAAGGCCAGAAAATCAACTTTACTTATTTCAAACAAATTTTACAAAGTGTAACGATTATTTTGGACGGTTGTCATTTTCTGACACTTTTTAGCAAAACCCACTTGTTTCTTATAAATAAGCTCCACATGACAATGAAGTCATGAGCTTAAGAATCTATTGGGTGTATTCGCTTTCATTTCAAATGTGAAATTCTCCATTATTGAAAAGATGAATCGATTTTAATTATGGAAACAGATTAGGTTACTCGAGCTGAAATCAGAAAATAAAGAATAAAGCCTATCGAATAATTTCCGATTTTGTGAAAAAAGATAAAATTTCACATTCAATTTTTTGAAAGAATTACAAGCGGTTAATTTTTTCCCGAAATGTCAATCTTCCAAGCATTTACACCCGAAGAAGTAGAAAGTATTCGTTCTGTTGTAATGATAGGACACCAGAATGATGAAATGCTTCTTACAAATTGTACAAGGAGGCCGATTCAAGAAACACGAGCATTTATCAAGCGATTTAAGAAATATTTAATGTATCCACAAACACCTTCGTCAGAAATTGCTGATATGGCAAATAAACAATATGTCGCAATTATTACTGCTGCACGAGCAAAAAATAAAATGCATCCTCAATCATTATCAAGCGCGCATTCTATGGTTAACTTAGCATTACCTCTATCTACATCAAAAGATTCTCTACCATTAAAATTTAGAGTTAAATTCGGCCGATTTGATAACGAAAACGAAATTAATTTTCCGAAACCACCAATTCCTACTCGTTCTAGATCAGTTTCGAACGATCTAAATAGAGAAATCGACGAACCTCCATTAAAGAGAATAGACATACCTGTTATTCCCCCATCAAACTTCAAGTTCCCTCACGCAGTTCGAAATCCTGAAGAAGTTACTCCAGGAGAACTTGCTGCGGTTCTTAAAAATACAGACGGGCCAACAATTATATGTCGTGTCATTGCTCTGAAAACTATCAACGATACACCACACGCCCTTGTGGCGTCGTTTTTAAATGAAATCGGACCTTGTTACGTTCCATTGCATCACTTAGTTATGCTACGTGAGAAATCTGACTCTGGTGATGCCAATGAGCAAACATTTACCATAGATAAACTCATTAAAAAGATTATGGTAAATGCACAAAGCATCGTTTTAGCTGTTGAGGATCTCCCTGAACTATCTCAACAGAATCCTATAGCACCTGAACTTAAGCGTAGCGTTTTGTATCAAGCGCTCGCTTTTGCTGCTCAATTGCAATTGCTTTACTGGATCTCGAATTGGGAGATACCAGATAACAAGAAGGAAATATTGTTAAGAGAAGTTGATAAAATGTGTAAATGCAAGTACAAATCAACTGAAGAAACAAATTTAAGGTGTAACGAACTCTTAAGATCGATTATCGATCATATGAAATAAGTATTGTTGTTTTATGTTTGTATAAGGATGTAAAAAGCGTTATAGATACTTTTGTTTTTTATTAATTTTTATAAAAATACTATTGAGATAATTGCTACTTGTTAATTAATTAAAGATAATAGTATTTATAAAGCTATTTATAAAGCTCTTCCATTTACTTTTATTAAAGAAATTATCAATAAAAAGTCATACTTTATCTTAATTGAAAGAATGAATCGATTTGGAGATATTATCAAAAATATTATACTTCATATAGCTATCATCCATTAATATTTAATAATTGATGTATTCCTAAGGATGTCGTTTTGTCCCCCAGGGGGAATATTGCGTCCCCCACTTGGGGGACCCTGGAGGACAAAAATTGAGGAACTTTGTTTGATGGAGTCAGAGTATATTTGTAAAGTGTCAAAATAATAATTGATTAATAAAGTTCAAATATTATAATAGATACAGCATTTTGTTAATATTTAAAATATATTTATTTGGCTTTCATTGAGTTTTCATGTGTTTTCAGCGAATTGAAAATTTAAATACCAGATGAATAGTTGAAGGCAAACATATACAAATGTGAATTGAATGACGATATGAGCAGTTTCATTATGAAGAAAAACTAAAAAATATTTATATCATAAAATAACAAAATATAAATAACAAACAAAAAATTACTGTATAAGCTGTGCCATCAGTCCTATTGTTGCGTCATTTGCAGACTTCGGAGTCCAGTTTCTTCTCTTCACCCACTGAGTCTTTGGATTTGAAGTCAAATCATCTTTCTGAACTTCAGCAGTTGTGTACTCTTTAACACTGTAGTGTTTGGCAGCTCTCTGTACTCTCCTCTCGCGCCATTTCATGTCTTTTCGGAACCATACAAATACAGTAATACGTATCAAAAGTGACACAAAAGGTGACATCAATCCTATCGTCGAAATAACCTTCATCGTCTTGTTTACTGCTTCATTTACTTGTTTTACGGCTTTATCGCTAATTTTAACGTAAATTGGGAGTGTATACAAGTAATGCTGAGCGAGAACCGTGAAAGAAATGTTTCCTTCGGTCTTGTCCGAGTCGAAAAGCCACAATGAGAAGTCGAAACAGACAGATGTCGTCTGGTAAGGCTGCAAACTGGTTTTATTGGCTCGGAATGAAATGAACATGTTGGGAGTGATGTACAAGTTATTCATCGAGATAGGAGAGAACGCATTATTAGTCACATAAACGCATTTCGTCCATTTATTCAACATGTACTGCTGATCGTCGCCAACAATAAATTCTATACTAGTTACCATGTTGTGATCTTCATTACTGAACCGAACTCGAGGATATTCTACATTCGCCAAAATTATTATCGTAAAAGGAGGTGTACAGTTGGTCGTGACCGGTATTTCCAGGTTGTACTTGCCGGGAACAGTACCCTCGAACGTCAGCATGAACTCTTTCGTCTCGTGGCTGTCAATAGAAATAATTTTTCGGTGTTTTATGTTGAATTTCGGGTTCGTTTCATTCACGATATCGTGTAATGTGAAGACAATTGGCCTAGTGAACGGGTTATGTAGATTTATCGACTTACAGAAGATTTCATCCGCATGAATTGTTCCGAAATCGATAATTCCCTGCGGAAAGGCCGCGTGCGAGATATTTCTGTCCATGTGGCTATGAAATAGAAGCCGTTTTCAAGTCTGAGCTTGATTTCAATTGGAAAAACGAAATTGCCCGTCCAAAGCTTTTCCAACCGTTTTCTGAGTTTCAATGATTATCACTCTCTCTCAGTATGTTGAAAAATCCAGCTGTGAGTGGGAAATTCTCGTCAAGAGAGATATTATACGTTGCGATAACAAATTTTGTTGTAATTTGTAATTACGAGTGGCATTTTATGAGGTATCACTTGAGGATAGTTTGCTTGATATCGAGAATACGTAATATTGTCTGCAAATTCTGACTTTACAGTGATATATATCCTTCATAATCTGCTCCGATAATGAAATTTTTACGTAAAGCAATGTCCAATTTCATTGTTCCTGCGAGTAGATTGTATAATAGGCCAATTGAAACGTTCTTGTGTTCGAAATTGAAAGTAAATGTTGTATTTGTGTTGCAAAAGGCCACGAAAGTGATTCTCACCCATACAATTAATGTCTGGAATGGTTCTATGGCTCCGTCTGAGTAGGGATCGATTCTTTCTACTAAAATGCAGGGAAATCTAGTAGATACATTCTTTAAAAATATTCTGGCGTGGTTATTGTTCTTGACTCTGAACGATAATGTCCTCGATGACATATTGAAGATGCTGTCGAACTTAATTGAATTGGTATGTGAGTCAATGGAGACATTAAGGTATTTGAGGTAATTTCGATAGGCATGGGACGTCGTATGATCGGAAACTTGTGCCTGGAAGCGTTTGTTTGGACAATTAAGTAAAGTTGTTTTCTAAAATGTCAAAATTTTTGTTTAATGTAATGAAAAATTCTTCTGAGTAGTTTTTGTTGGCCAACCACTTGAGGGAAAAATTCTTTCACGGAGAAATATTGGGATTCGACCGTCGCAGAAAGAATCATCAAAGGATCAGGGTGAAGATTGGAAATAGAGATATGCGCGACTGTTGTTAGATCGTTACCATGTGGAGTATAATAAGCGCATTTCGCGATGCCTCCGAATTTGCGGAAAATTACTGTTTTGTGTATTGAATATTATTTATCGTCAAAGCATATTCCATTTCGATTCCTGACTTTATGTGGTTCCATGATGAATTTTTTAGAGCTCCAAGAGCAACATAAGCTACTGTTCTAGTGGAAAATGGTGGAAACTAAATTATTTTTCCAATCTGTAAGGTTGACGATCAGTTTGCTTTCGAATGATTGGATAAGGTAACATTAAGTGTATTGTTTTCAAGGTTGATGACTTTAACGTATTGTAAATCGGATATCCAGAACCAAAAAAGAAATCGCCAAAAATAATCATAGAATGGTCAACAATATGAAGATAGATTGGAACAATGCATGTGAATGTATATGATTTAATGAAAAGAAATGTTAAATATGTTCCAAATTTTAATTGATTAGGATGTAAAAGAATTGATGTAAATAAACAGTTGTTTGTGATGGATCAAAGATACTAGAATCGTAAATAAGTGATGTTTCGATTGTTCCTGTGTAATTTAATCGAAATGTGAAAGGTTGATTGATTCCTGATAAATGTGTTGTGATTCGGTATAATAACTGGAACAAGGTTGCAAATGAAGTCAATGTAATATGGAAATGTTCCATGATCGGAAACAACAAAAATGATTCCTGAAAAATGGCCTTCTCGTGAACAAAGGATACTAAATGTAAATGAAAATATTTCGCTTGGTTTGATTGTACTTGATTTCGTTTTTTCAATGAAGATAAAGGGACAATTTGTAAAAATGTTTGAAATCTTGATAGATTCCTTTTCGAGAACGTTTTCAATATGAAGTGTATAGTTTGTCGGTGAATATGTGTCAATTTCAAAGTTTCGCATCTCGACAGGATTGAAAAGAACTGTGTCTGAAAATTGAAGGTTTAAATAATCAAAGTTTTCGTTAACTGGATCGTAATCTAGAAGTGTATCGTTTGTATATTCTAATCGTGTTAATGGAATTTTCGAAATGTCTTGACGAAATGATTGATTTTTGTTTGCAAGAGTTGGTCTGAATTCAACGTCTTTGATTGTTGTGTTAGTGCAATAATTGAACCGTAGAAGTTGTTTATTGGCATTGAACTAACTTCTGACTTTATTAATGCTAATAAAACAGAAAAACAAAACATTGTTAAAATTTTTTATCGAATTTTTCGAAAAGAATTAAACAGAGAGTCTCATTCTGGGAGGCATGCAGAGGCAATGTCTCCCAGAATGACACATGCAGACCGACAGGAGTGCATAATGCACTCTTGTCGGTCAAACTTCCGCATTCAAGTTATGAAGGCTCTTCCATTTACTTTTATTAAAAAAATTATCAATGAAAAGTCATATCTTATCTTCATTGAAAGAATGAATCGATTTGGAGATATTATCAAAAAAAAAAATATTATACTTCATATGTATATCATCCATATGTATTTTAATTGATGTATTCCGAATTTGAAAACAGTAACCAGTATCGATTTGCAGCAATTACTTTGGAATTTCAAAATTGAAGGAATATTTGTAGAAAAATGAATATTACTTTGGTATTTCATATTCAGATCCTTGGTACTAAATCAGTTATTTCTTTATAAAGAATTTATTTGCATTTTAATCGATGAATTAGTATCAAATGACATGAAATCTTATATTTGAAAGCAAAACTTTTAGAAAATCATTCATCATGGACATACATATTAATATAATACAAATTATTTACAAACTGTGGTTAATTGATGTATATTGAAAATCTGACAAAACTGTTATGTAGCTGTTGGCTTAATCAAGTTATTTTATACACTAATTAATGACATATAAATTCAATTAATTGATAATTCATGAGTATAATATTATTCGATTTTTTGAAACCGAAATTAAGAAGATTTGAATGATATCACGTTAGGGCTGCTAAATTTTTCCATGTTTAAATCTTGGAGGAGATCTAAAGATAATAAAAGTGATACAACGGAAAAAAAACGCAAAATAATATTGTGAAACGAGCCAGTTCTTAACACGCGAGAAACCGTCAGACTGCATATACTGGAGTTTTAGAAAATCCACAGTAGGTGTTAATCTGAATAAACCAGAATTTCGAATATGAGACTTTTTAGGAATTGGTATAACCGAGTTTATCAATATTGCCGATATATGGTCGAAAAGTGACAATAAAGGAATAATTGAATGAGAATATTGTTTGCTAGTAAATTCGAAATTGGAATGTGGAATTTGGAATTAGAATATAATAAAATCACACATATTTTTCTTAATAATAAGAATGAATATTTACTCGCGAATATGACAAAAAATGACATTAAATTCTAGATATGTACTACATGGTTATATTACTATGATGATTTATATAAGGTATATATAAGAATGCATAATAAAAAAACATACTTTTATATAACATATACATATAACACATATAGTAAAGCATATACGTTCATATAAAATCACACTTTTAGTGAGCACAGCTTGAAGAAAATGTGAAAAAATATATTTTTCGTTCGGAAAAGTGACAATGATGATTTTTTATTTTCACGTCATTCTAAAAAGATAAATTAATGAGATTGCATTGTAATGATACATACTTGAGTTGCAATGTGTCTATTAGGAATTTTTGGTGAAAATAAATTGAATAGTTTGAGTTTATGATTTTGACTTCGCTAAAAAATTGACTCAAAATACGCAAAAAATCAAATATTTTGAAGTTAAATATCGAATAATATTATGCATGAGGAGCTATTAAATAATGTTGTGTATGAGAATGTTGCACTTAGATTAATGGAAATAGAGTTATAATTCAATAATTATGATGCTCGACGAAAATAATAATTCTCGGACATACGATTATTTTTGATTCAAATGCTGTTCGGCATTAAAAGCAAAAATAATCATATATATGAGAATTACACTTTTCCGACATTTTTGGGTCGCTTCACGCCCCTGACAAAACGTCGGAAAGTGTAAATTTTGTCACTTTTCTATGCCAAAATTATAATAAAAAAAATCGTTCTGATTTTTCTGAGTGACTTCTACAACTTTATATCTTTTATTTATATATATCAGCAATATATCTTACATATCTAACTTCAACAATATTTTCTATCATCTTAATTCCTATTCCAGAAGCATCAATTTAATTCTGATGACAAATCTATCTTTCAATTCTTAATTATGACAAGAATTTTTGATTCGGATAAAGCAAACACTATACATATTTCCAAATTCAAACCGATTCCTGATTCATAGTTAATTCTTCTATTGTCACTTTTCGACCCTATATCGGCAATATTGATAAACTCGGTTATACCAATTCCAAAAAAAGTCCCATATTCGAAATTTTGGTTTATTCAGATTAACATCTATACTGGAAATATTTAAAATTTTGATTTTCTAAAACTCCATTCTGAAAAAGCATACATGGACGAGTTTCATATTTATTTATTACTACAAATGTTTTAAAGCCCTATTGATATTGTTTGTGTACTCATTTGTTTATAAAAAAATTTAATTCACTCGTTGAAAAAAAAATATTAATTTCATTGCTTTTATTATTTGTGATTTGATATAAATGAGTTGCATCACTTTTCCTATAATCAAATTAATTTTTATTTCATTCAAATTTAATTCACAAAACCCTCATCTAGTCTTAATATGTATTAAACATAAAGAAATTAAATAATATACATGAAAATTTTCATAACAAAAGTTTTTTCCTTTCGCAAATACATCATTGATATGATGGTATAATATTAGATAATTATTATTTCCGTCAGGAATGTATATTTAAAATTGAATGCAAACCGATTTTTTTTTGTAATATGTTTGTTTTATCTCACAATTTGTTTCCCTTTAGAATTGTAAAGTTATATTTCAGAAGTTTAATATATTAAAAGATAGAAATATCGATTTTATAGTCGTTGAATGATTAATTATATTATATTTATGCCATATTACAAAATTTTTAATGTCGAACGAACCAATACCAATTACAACAATTGAAGATTACGAGGTTTATTTACCAGATCTAGTGAATTATGCTAACACCATTCTAACATTTATTCAATCTCCTGATCCTGAATATCCAAAAGATGATCTAATCTCACAAATAGTAAATATCCGTGAACAATATAACAGAGGAAACAAAATAATTGGTGACTTGACAAGTTAAAAGCTCACAAATATGAAGTATTAATTGAAAATCATAAAAAATTAGGTCCAGTATTTGATAAATTAAAACAATATTCTTCTGAAGATACCCCAAAAGATGTTAGATTAGTTCAAAATTCGCCAGCCAAACAATTTACGCATATTGAAGAAATTCGAAAAATGAATTTATCTCTGAATGACTTGATACTTAGATCAATTGAAGTAATACAACCAAATGGTGTATTAAAATCAAAATTGGAAGATTTTCAAAAAGGAATGAAACAACCTCCTACGAATGCAGATTCATACAATAGTAAAATGACACAATTTATTAAACAATTTTACTCCTTATTTATGGGTAACAACTTACGGTATTAGACGAAGAACTTAACCTATATTTGTGAGTGTCCTCAACTATTAATTTCCAGAGCAAATAATGATGATATCAGAAATGATGTTTCTGTCATATAAGAGCATCAGTAGAT